TGATTTTATATTATATTCAATCCCCAGCCAGCTGGGAATTCATAATTTTCTGATACTTTAAGATGTTTATTGCCCTCCTCAGTAGGGGTGGTAAATATCTTATTTAATCAGATATTATTTGGGCTGTTATATATTGTTTATGAACACACTGTGGAAAGTGGACCCTAGGTCCTCCGGCAGTCTAAGCCTATAACAGCATAGCTATAGAGATAGCTCAGGATATGTTATTATATTTTGGAGAAACCAGACAACAACACAAACATATGGGAAAGCAGAGGAGAGCCGGTTCCTCTGGGCAACATTCAGCTGTACAGTTGCACCTGAAGAACAAAGGACAAACTTTTGAAGACCAGAGTGTTAAGATTTTGGGCAAAGATGACAGATGGTTTGAAAGGGGAGAAGCGGAAGCCATCACTGAATAGAGGGGGAGGATTGGGGTTTCAGCTTCCAAGCATTTACAGTAGATTCATGGAGCTCATCCCAAAGCACTCCCATTATGACTCCACAGACCAATCACATAATCCATGCACAACAAAAGGCTCCAACAATCCAGAGGAATAAATTAGATTTGCATCTGACTTAGAATGTGATGGTTGGTTCCACAGGAGATGAGCCAGATAACTAAAAAAAAACTAAAACCTAAAAGATTTTGAATTAAGGCACTGTTAAGTGTCTTGAGGTGGTATGTATTGTTAATTGTTGCAATATAAACAGTATTAAACTAAAATTCTGCTTCATGTTCTTCTTTAGAAGCTCTAAGAACTCATTATTAACCTGCAGCTTGACAGCAAAATCCTCTGTTGGAAAAATATGAAACAATATCTTTGATGTATCGTGGAGCTTGATTATCGGGAGTTTGTATGTTATTTAGTCATGTAATTATTTAAAAGAACGACAATGAAGGGAAGCTAAAATAGGAGAAATGTGATCTCTCTTTATAATTTGAATCAGGACTCTGGCTGCAGTGTTTAGGATTAGCAAAATACTTCCTGATAGTAAAGAATAACAGCAGCCCCGCTTTGAAATAACAAATGGTTGGTTAGGACCCCTGATCTAATCAAGCTTACTAAAACGTAACTTCCTGTTTATAGATAATATTTCTTAAAGTCTTATAACATCTATCAAAGTGAAATATATTTAAAGATGACTTTACTTCTCAAAGCTAATATTAAACCCCTCAGAAAGTATCATAGATGCACAGTGTGATGGAAAGATTGTTTGCAACATTTGATTGTTATGCACATAGTTTTGTAGCTATAACTATAAGTTATCGTTATAAATTATCTGTTAATGCTAATGCTACGTTCAGCCTGCAAGCGCTGGAAATAAGCCTTTTTCATGCTTGTTCACATTAAGGTCAGACACGTGTCAAGAGCATTTTTGACGCTCCTGTCATGCATCTAATAAAGTGTCCAGATGCATCTGCTGCTCCTGTGTTAAATGGCAGAGCGGCTTTGCTATATTAGCAGTGATCAGAGGGTAAAAAGTAGTTTTAATATGTTTTTAAGTGAGAAAGTACTGAAAATTTTATCTGTGCAGTCAGTTCATCAAGATTACGGTCCTGTCTTTAAATATTATTTCCCTGTCGAAGCCCCTCAGACCCCAGTACACCGCTGGAAATCCCCTTCAGTGGCAGCCTCTGGCCCGGTCGCCTTTTCCCGATTTTCTGCTACTGCTCATGGCGGCTGAACGGCGTTTTTTATGTACGTGATCCAAACTGCAGGCACCAGAATAATAAAAGCAAACATATTTTACCAGCAAGTTTCCAAATTTTAAGTTAATTTAATCATTAATAAACTGTTTCAGAGGAGTGATCATAGCGCTCTGCATCCGCAGTGCTGTGTCTGTCTCCCTGCCAGCTCCCAAATCAGCTTCTCTCATTGGTTGATGTCGACGTCGTGCAGCAAAAATTAAATTTTTCCAACTCCAGCAGCTGCTGCTTTCGAACCGCGTCACGCAGGTCAAATACTCAGAAGCTCATGAGGCGCTGCTCCTGCTGCTCGAAACGTGCAGCAGGAACTTTTGCTGCGCCTTGATGCGTGTCAACCATTGACTTTGCATTAAAACTGGCTGCTACTGCTGCCTCTAGCTCGTGCAGTCTGAACGTAGCATTAGGCTTTTTACATTTTCCTGATATGTAGTAAATGTAGGCTCAAAACCAAGCTGTTAATCTAGAATATAAAACTGATCAAAAGCAAATCCGGCTGCTGTAGTTCAGTAGTTCCTGCTGCTCTTATGAGGACAAAAGATGTACAAACCTTTACCAAACTAAATACCTGGGCTAAGTTTTCATGGATCAATAGAGCCAAAATGATGTTGTGACTTTTTCCGTGTCTCCTATATCCAGATGGGAGAGCCAGTAAGTCTGAACGTGGGTGGCTGTGTTTACAGCACGTCTCTGTCAACGTTAAAGCGTTACCCAGACTCAATGCTGGGTGCCATGTTCAGAGGAGACCTCCCCACAGTCAAAGACTCCCACGGAAACTACTTCATTGACCGGGACGGCCCACTGTTTCGGTAAGAGTTACATTTATTGACCCAAATTGTTTGTCTCAAAAGAAGTTTTGTCTAAAAGGTCAAAGTACTTTTTATATCTTTTTTTTTTTTTTGTACGTTTAGAAATTACAAACAGGTTCGATTTTTAATCCCAAGGTTCAGATTTACTTAAGAACATATAACACAGAGAATTTCATAGCTACTACAAAGCTGATCAACTAACCAGGTTCATATGGTTTTCTATCTTCAAAATCAGCAGAATTGTTCTTGTAGCAAATGGTTTTCACTGTGCAGTATGCTAATCATCAGAACTTGCATAATACTGGGAGGAGGATAAATAAATGCAGTACTTATACCCTTACCTAGTTAAGAGACCCTCATCCTCAAACAACAGCTTTTTTTTACTCAGACCAGTTAAAGTTTTAGTGGCCAGAAGGCCCCAAGGCCATTGTTTTAGAATAAATCTAGCTACAGGCAACCTTTGAAGACCTACTAATAATTTCCATACACCAAGTCTATATTCTAACATCAACAAACTAAAAGGTAACTTCAATTAATCCAGTGTCCTACATTGAACAAGAATTTTATTTTTCTTTAGTTAGTATGCATTTGGCAGGGAATTACTACAAGCAAAATCCACCCCATGTAAAAGTAAAAATTAAGTTTAATTAAACTTCCAGAATGTTCACAATTTGGACTAAGAGAGACTGGTGGTTTGAAAGGGGTTTGAAGTAAGCCTTTTATGTTAAGAGAGAAAAACTAACCTTAAACAGAGGGGGTGGACTCAGGTTTCAGCTCTCAAGAACCGACAACACCGCAATAGAGTTGTAGGTTTTTCCCGCTATCATCTCAACCTCTATCCCTATACCAGCAATCAAAACAACTCGCCTGGTCAGCCAAGCCAACAATGACCCGAACGACTCAATTTTCAGAGTTAGGGGCTAATATTGGGTATTGCAGGCCTCAATGACTCCCCATTACTAAGGGGTGGACCTGTTCTTCCGGGTTGCATATTTTCTAAACAAAACAACGCTTTGTTGTGCTACTGTATAAAACCTCGAACTCAACGCTATTTCTGACATTTGAATCGAAAAGGCTTCCTAGATGGTACGTGAAACATCTTCAAACTTGTAAAAAAAAAAGCCCAGTGGATTAATTTTTAACTTTTTTGGAATGACTATGACCTGGATGACTGAGAATCTTCTCCAGCATATCCACCCTTCATGGTGCGGAGCTTTTGTATGTTAATATTGGTGGCCTGAATTTCTTCCTTTGGCCAACATACCTTACCCCAGTAAGGTATCTGGTTACTGGGAAGGTATTGATTGCGCTGAGCTTGTTTTTGCCACATAGCTGACATTTAACTTGCCTTACTCGTTGAAAGTACTTAGCTGTTGCTGCTTTCCTTTTGGCCTCTTCATGGTAGTCATTTGCCTGTGGTATTCCAATGTACTTGTAGCTCTCTTCTACATCTATTCTAATCCAGTCTATCCATTCTCCCATCTGGGGGTGCATTCCCCTCAGTGTGGATAACTTTGCCCCATTTGTCACCATCTGGCAGCATTTCTCCAGCCAGAATGACATTCCAGTGTCCCTACTGTAGATCCCACTGGTGTGGATCAGTCAGTCAATGTCTCGCTCACTCTTAGCGTACTCTTAGCTTAGAGTTTACCACCCCAGTAGGGTTGGTTATATGTTGTTTATAAACCCACGCCCTACTAGCTGTGTGTTAGAACAACAAATGAAAGTGTGAATCGGGCTTAAATAAGGGTCAAAAAGATAATTCTGCTCATATATGGAATAAATTCACCATCAAAATATACAAGTTTTTTAACAAAAATCAGTCAGCTCCAAGCCAAACATATTTCAGTTAAAAGCTCTTGACTGAAATCAAGTTAAACTCAACTAAACTAAACTACTATGTACAAAGCAGAAGGAAAGACATGGTTAAAAACCATAACCAATGACAGGATGCAATGATATCAATGTTTAATGTGGATTTTGTGTTTCTTAATCAAGGTTTATGTTGAAGAATTTGGAATGAGGTCCATTTTTTTAACAAAAGCAAAGCAAGTGGAATGTTTATCCAACCAATTTACTATGAAAATCTATGAGGTGAATAAAACGTTTTTAGATAAATAATGTTTCATTAAATAATTTGCTTAATTAGGACCCAATAACGTTTAGTTAATTGATTCTTAGTCTTCTTTGAGTGAGCTGACATGAGGATTCCCATTAAATGACTTTTGGTCATAATTTTGTAATCAAAATATATTGAGCATATTAGAAAACACATGAACGTTAACACTATATCAGTGTTTAAACCCTTAGTGAAATAAAGCTTGTTTTAGCTTAAAGAAAAAACCAACTCGAACATGTAAGCGTGGTGTACCATGCGGTTCATCTTCTTAGCTTTGTCTTTATTTCACAGTAAATACATTAAATTATCAAAAATCATCAAAATACATACTGTTTACTGGAGAAGCTGTCCCCAATAGTACCAGACCTGCAGACTTCTGTGAATCAATTTGGAAGGCTTGAGTTTTCCTGTAGCACTTAGAAGCAGGTCACACACATCAAAGGTTCCTTTGTTCCAGGTAGGTAAACATCAGGGAGAGAGCTCCCTTAGGAGGCTCCTAACGCCACTCTCCATCTGTAAGTTTTGAAACTCTGAAAAAAATGTTGCAAAAGGTCTGTTTTGCAGCTAGTTGGTTCTGACATGTCAACCATTACTGCTTAGCCTTGGTCTTTCTGGAGATCTGAAACTTGAGACTGGGCCTTCCATGTTGGCTTCCTCTTCCGATGTGAACCCCCGGGCAGCTTCACGGAAGAGACGGAAATCCTGTGTGGTGTAGTGTTAAGGGCAGGTTATACTCCCGCAGCAGTGTGTCTCAGTCAACTTATCGCAGATATTTTCGATTTATGCCCAATATTGAAGCATGGTCTGGGCTTTTTTATTCCTTACAACGCAAGAGGGACTTTAACGAACTAGCTGTGGGTCTAGATACGGCCGATGCGTATAAAGAAGAACGGCAGCACATTAGATGAGTGTGTGGAGTAAGTCTGATTGAATTTAAATAGTTAGAAGGGCAGTAACCTCACTATAGGGCAGCCAGGAGAGGTGAAGGACAGATGGCCTCAGCTCCTAAAGGTCACTGTAGCCTGCAGGCACCAGCCTCTCCCACTAATTAGCCATACACCAAACAACGTCAGGCTGACACTGAATTGCAGTAGTAGCAGTCTGCAGACCAAATAAGCATCAGTGGAAATACTGACCATAAAGAAACTAGACCAACTGTTGAAACCATAAAGAAACTGGTTCAGCTATTGCAGCCCTACTATAGGAATTGCACGAACTGTACGATCCAATTAAAAACTTTACCAACTTGAGCACAAATAAACAAAATTAACCAACTGCTGGCTCCATAAAGACACTGGACCAACTGTTGGAGCCCAAATAAAGACAATGAACCAAATGTTGGAGCCCAACTATAGGGACTGGACCAAGTATTGGATCCATAAAAAAACTGGACCAACTGTTGGTTCCATAAAGGAAGGAACTTGACAAACTGTAGGAGCCCAACTATTGAAACTGGACCAAGGCCATTTCTCAATTCACAAGAACACGAGGCCGTACTCGCGTTCTCGTTAAGTCCGGTCTTGGCAAGAACACAGGAGAGTCTTGACTTGGTGAGAACTCGAGCATGCAGCATAAATCTGGGTCAAT